AATTTCTTCATCACCATCAGCAGCAGCAGCAGCAGCAGCATCAAAACTGCCATTTATCAAATGCTGAGCATATACCAAGAGCATGAGAACACCTGCCCCAAAGGGCGGTTGGGAGAATGAACCAGGTACAGCACTCAGAACAGCACCTGGCACAAAACAAACACATTTTACCATTTAAATTATTATTATCCACTATCATTTTTATGACTTTGTTAGCCCTAGGACTTTATGAGGTATGTTTATCACTGCCACTTCATAGAACAGGAAATCCGAGGCTTCAAGAGGTTAAATAATTAGCTCAAACCAACAAAGCAGCAGAGAAGGAACTCAAGCCTGGCCAGGCTGGCTCTCACTAGGTCCACTGGAGAAAGAGGCAGGAGGACTCTCCAGAGAGCAGAGTGGGGTGGGAGGGCCCAGCCTGACACCGCCTACCCACTGGAGGGGAAGGCAGGCTTAGTGCCTTCGGCTGAAAGGGCAAGCAGGTCCAACTTTTTAACCTCCCCTATCAAGGACAGAAAACCACACTGCTTAAAATAATAATGATTAAAAAAGAAAACCGTCCCCTGTGGCCGGCTATTCCAGGGCTCCACAGTGAGCCAGCATGGCCAGCATCTCAGAGCACATTGAGTTCAAGGCCAGCAGCAACTCCACAGTGGCGGCCCAGCACCCCCTGGCTGAGCTCCAGGCAATGTTTTTCCTTCTAAACTAACACACAATTCTGCTGAACAAACCACTCGAAAGCCAAAGAGATGCCCCTCGGTTGCTATGGCAATATTACACAGACCAAATATTTTAACCAGCTCTGACGCACACACACAAACTTTTTTTAAGGGCCAAGTGGATGGATTTGATGGGGGAGAAGGGGTGGGATGAGGAGTGTTATTTCTAAAACTCCATCTTCATGGATTTGGCCCCAAAAGCATGGAAGTCAGATTGAAACAGGGCAACTGACTCCATTAAAAGACTCAGGCCATTAGCTTGTTGCTAACGTTCCCTCTCTGGTCACGGTCCAGGTCCATCTTACAAGGCCCAAGATCTGGGTGCTAGAGGTCATGGATGTGTATGGACAAGCATCAGGTTAGAGACATGGGGACAGCATGCTGTGACCCAGCACCCGAGCTTCAGCAGAATCAAAAGGACCAAATGTACTCACGAACATCAAAGGGCTTGCTTTAAAGAGCCCTGCAAATGAATGTCAGTGCTGACATGATAGATATTAACAACCACTTCCAACTGGGCAGCATTTTTATTTTCCAGATCACGTGGCTGAACTTTCATCCACACAAGTTGAAGGACTTGGATTTCTTTCTTTAGAAAGCTTTGCCCTGGGATCCACTGGGGATTGCTCCCCCAGATGCAGTAATCTGGGGACTGACGAAGAATGCAGGGTCTTGTCCAAGGCCTGAAGATAGTCATGTCTGTTGTACCCTGGGCTCTTCCATGCCCCACCCATCACCCTAAGCACAGTAGGGCAAAGGCTGATATTTCTGGGAAGCTAAGCTAAAAGGGCCTCACCAGATTTAGCTCATGGCAATTTGGAAGGATCAATGAACAAATGTTCAAAAAACTGCCCTCTGCAGGATCCATGCCATCCTCAGGTAAACAGAGTCTGCAGATGTGGGTTTCATACCCACTATCTCTGCTTGGAATCTTCTACTCACCATCCCCTACGCTGACCCTTCTTTCCTTTAAAGATTCAATCCTTAGAAGTTATTCTTAAGCTCCTGCATGTCCTAGGGTAGAAGAGGCCCCCAACATGCCATATACAGGTGTCTGTGCTGGAAACACAGCTGGAAAATTCTATTGCTCTAACTGTCCTCTGGTCTGTTGCCCACTCATGTGAAATCCTCAACGGCAGGATTCACATCTTGTTACCCGTGTATTCACCTGACATAGCCCAGTGCCTGGCATCCCTAGGCACTTGGTGACTGCCAGCTGACAGGCTAACAATATGCAATGCAATTCCCCTTGTGTTTAGGGGCAGCTGCCCCCCCCCCCAATTCTCAAGCCCTATTCCTGTGTCTGCTTTCACTTCCCTGTCCTGTGGGAGGAGCACAGGACTCAAAGCATGCCTGGGCATGGATAGAGCAAAGACTGGGCTCCTGGGCAGCCTAGTGGGGGAGGAGCAGTGAACCAGGGAGGAAATGTACCCTCCCGCCAATGCTCACTCAGGCTCCTCCCATCAACTTACTAATGAAATGATTTAGGCCCTTAAAAGTTTGAACAGCATGCATTAGACACGTGCTCTGAAACAAAGTTGCTTTTCTTTGGTTCCATTATTAAAGGCTCCTGGAAACTGTTCTATCAGTTATCATTTTTTTTCCTTTTTTTTTTGGCGGGTGGTGCTGGGGTTGAACTCAGGGGTACTCTACCACTGAGCTACATTCCTATTCACTTTGGTTTTTATTTTGAGACAGGATCTTGCTAAGCTGCTGAGGCTGACCTCAAACTTGCAATGTCCTGCCTTAGCCTCTCAAATCACTGTGATTCTGTTTTCCTGGGCAGTGATGAATCAATTCTATGCTGATCATCTGGGGGGAGGTAGCTGCCCTCCCGATAGGACGTGCTCCCCAAGTTCTCATCTTATTGTGCCTTATCTTTCTTCCACCAAAATGATGCTCTCCTCCAAATAGGCAATATTTAGCAAACAACAACAGCAAATGTTTATCCTTGGGTCACACTAAATAAAGCTTAATGGGAAGATCAACATCTTAGGAATCTAGAAATGGTGTGCTGTGCCATATTCTCAAATTACACTTCCCATGAGTAGAAATGGTTGAACTCTGTATGAGCTCATGTGTGTGTGCATGCAGGTGTCCTGCTAGCTAGAGCAACACCCATGCCTGTCTATGAGCACCTGCTACATGAAGCAGTGAATTCTGCCTTATGCATTTGTCCTTGTTTTGTGATGGAGGGGAGAGGACAATGGGCCTGTTGTCCTTATCATCATCTCTCTCATTTCCTACAGAATGGAATGACTATGGTGGAAGTTCTTACATTTTCTGGACTCACATATTGTGTGCTGAATTATTCTCTGCTAGGTTTACCACAAAATTGTGTCTGCCTCCCCGCCCACAAGCTGGAACTAATTATCACCGACAATTATAGGATTTTATATTCCTGTGTTCTAAAAACACATCATACACACACACACACACACACACACACACACAGGGGTGGGGGGGAGGGGGAGAGAGAGAGAGAGAGAGAACAATGCTAAAAGAGTCATGGAGAAACCACAAAACTGCATTGGTGCCATAGCACTATTTATAAAGTATATATTTGCATATAGAACTAAATTTGCATGGAAGAATCTAAGATGACAATATTTTATAAACTTGAAAGTGGACTTTAACAGCAAGCCACTCCTCCAATAGAAGGTACAGAAAATATAAAATGCTCCAAACAGAATAAAATGTTAACTACCTTTAAATGTCAGTTCTACGTGTGCATTGTAATAGGCTGGGACAAATGTGCTGGTATCTTCTACAGGGAAATAATGTGTCTCTTTCATGTGAAGCTATTGCTGCATGTGTAAGATGCTTGCACTAAAATTAAGTCTTCTACTGCCCAAATTTTCTCAATTATTAATACACCAGACAGCTGCAGTAGCTCTAGCAAAAATAGCAGCCAAGCTTTTCCAAAAGTCAAAGCAGCCATGAGATGCCTGCCTGGGGACTTTCCTATGTAAGAAATGGTTGGTCTCTGGATCAAACAAAAAGAAACAATACCTCCAACAGAACAACAACAACAACAAAAAGAAGAAGAAGAAGGAGGAGGAGGAGGAGGAGGAGGAAGAGGAGGAGGGGGGGAGGAAGAGGAGGGGGGGAGGAAGAGGAGGAGGAGGAGGAGGAAGGAAGGAAGGAAGGAAGGAAGGAAGGAAGGAAAGACAATGAAAAAGAGAAAAATACTTGTTTCAGAACAGAATGTAACCTGGAAAACGACTTGCCCTGCCCATGAACTTCTGTAATACAACTGCTTTTGTGTATGGAAAGGGGTTGTCTGAAAAGGTTGCCCACTTGCCCAACTCTCTGGGATAACAATTCAAAAAATTAACCAGTGAACCCAAGGAATGCCAATGGCTTTGACATCTCCTGAAATAAGACCTGCCCCAAAAGGGTGGGGTAGGTTAGAGGAATGAATTAGGTTCTTTTTAAATTTCTGGAAGCTAATGAATGTCCAGCAAAAAAAAAAAAAAAAAAAAAAAAAAAGATACCTTGCCACCTTCAGGTTTTAAGCAATTATTGGCATCCTCTTAACAGACTCCAACAACAGACATTCTTTGTGTCAATATCTGGGCTGACAAAGTATTTGGAATTGAAAAACTAAGCACTTGGAGCACCAGAATTCAATGCTTTTTGGACTCAACAATGACCACGGATTTTAATTCAAAGATTATATGTAGCACAAGAAAAGAACAGATGTTAAAGTTATTTCTTAACTATAATATCATAGCTTAAATGTATCACACCAGCAAAAAACATCATCTGTCAAGGTCATAATGAGAAAGGTCCAGATATGACTGAACATTTCACACTTGCTGTCACAGTTCTGACTTCACACCATTCTAACCTTTAAAGGCAATCATATTCACATGCCCTGATTATGATCTGTAAGATACCATTGCTTCATCTGAGCCTCAACATAGAATTCAAGCGGAAATTGCTACCAGTCTTTGGGGAAGGAGAATGAGTCTTAAACAGTTCAAGTTCTAAACAGGTACATCTTTGCAGCAGTCCTGCATAATCTGTGTCTAACAGGGAGGACAATATTTCATTTTCGCTGTCTCCCAATCTATATAACAATCACAGCTAGTTTTTAATAAATGCCAGCAAATGTCAAAGAAGCAGGACATGGCTACTTGGAAATGGCTGTCTGTATGTTAATGTCATCCTCTGGAGTAAATCATCTGGGGTGAATACATTCCATGATGGTTGGTATCATTTAGAGGCAGAACATGCTAACATATCACCAGTGCTCACTAATAATGTACCACTCACCATTTGCGATCTGTTCTTCGGACAGCCATTGATGTCTTCAATCTTTTCATTTGCTGAAAAAGGAAATACAAGTCAGAAAGATAAATAATCACCAGAGAGATACTTCCAGTAGTGATGGTCAGGACACTTGAGGCCAACCAAGTCCTGAGGCCCATTCTGGGGTCTGTCCAATCAACACAGGCATGTGGAACAGTGAGACGCATCCAGCAAGTTTCAGGACTTACTCATCAAGCTGCAGTCCTCCAGGGACAGCTGGGGCAAGGTCGTCATCACTTAAAACAGAGACAACTGCATTGACGGCAGTCTTGCAGCGATGGGGCATCGTGACAGTGTTTGGAGACTGGGAAACAGAATGAGCTGTGATTGTGCTTTGGGGTCTGAGAGAGGCAGATGTCAGTCACTGCAACCTCCCCATGGAAGGCAGGACAGTTCAGAGTGAAATCAGTTCAGCTCGACTCAGCTCCTGGGGATGGATGCCATAGAGGAAACCAGCTTCAGCTTTCATCTGTAATTTTGTTGTCCTAATACTTATTCCCCAAGTGGGGGCAAATGGGGGAAATGAGAAAATCAGACTCAAAAATGGCTTGACCAAGGCAAGCCTAAATTAGATCAGTGAGCACACACGCCTGAAGTCAAAATAGCACCCAGTTACTGAAGGAGAGGTGAAAGAAAGAGGTTGCACTGAATAAACAGGAAAACAAGCGCTGACAAAGAGGAAAGGCTCAGCTTCCCCTAGTGAACACAGGCCCTGCTCAGTATGGAGGAATCCCTGGCAAGACACAGCCTGAGATATCCACAGAGAGGCTAAGTTTGAGAATGCAACACATAGGAGAGGCAGTGTGCACAGCAGTGAGAAGACCAGCTCTGGAGGCAGAGATGGGAAGTGAATCCCAGCTCTAGAGCTCAGCGGCCATGTGATCACAGCCATGTCACTCAAACTTAACCCAAATATGTGTGTGTGTATATGTGTGTGTGTGTCTATGTATGTATTTTATTTTATTTTATTTTTGGTACTAGGCATTAAACCCAGGGGCACCTAACCACTGAACCAAATCCCCAGCACTTTTTAATATTTTATTTAGAGATAGGGTCTCACTGAGTTGTTTAGGGCCTTACTAAGTTGCTGAAACTATCTTTAAACTCCTTCTACCTCAGCCTCCCAAGCTGCTGGGAATAAAGGCACTCACCACTATGCCCAGCTCAATACATATTCTTACCACCTACACAAAACATAACATAAATTCTTCCTTTTGAGGTCAGCATGTGGGTCAAGCCAAAACTCCACAGTAAAGAACTGAAGATTGACTTCCTCTGAATCTTTTATAAGTTCCCTCTCCAACCCCAGATCCCTATGTCCCATGCCCTCACACTACAGAAGGGTAGTGCCACTCAGGTCTCTGCCTCACAGCACCCTGCCTCTGCCTCTGCCTCTGCCTCTGCTGTCCTCTCAACCATCTACCATGTAACACCCCTACCCAGGAGGTGAGAGACTGGCAGATGTGTCAAGTTTATTTTTCACATTTGTATCCTGAGAGCTCAATAACTGCTTGCAAAATTGAATCCCCACATCACATCATAATATGATGGCTAAAACTTTCATGAAGAGAAAAAACATTAACAACTATCTGAAAGGATACAGAATCAAAGAATCCCATGCCTCCCAAATTTTAGAAGATCTGAGCCTAAATATAGATTGTTATTATCTCAAGTTGGGTTCATTTTTTGGGTTCAAGTATTTCTAGTTTGAGAGAGATGCACAAACTCAGAAAGAAAGCAAGCAGCAGGAAATTGCTCACAAATCTCGCTGCTGTGAGATAGCCAGATTAGTATAGATTCAGCCTGATCTACATTTTCTTTAGCACCAGCCAAAAGTATTAGATGTTTGCATTTGTGATCTAAGTGGGGACTTCCAATCTTCAGAGATTCAGCTGAATGTTCTCAACTCTGCCTAACATAAAAACATTGGGAGAGGAATTTTAGAAGCCTTAATTCCCAAAGAGGTGCCACACATAGTACATAAAAGATGCCCAAAGGACTGGGGGAAGAGCTCAGTGGTAGAGCACTTGGTCCAGCATTCACAAGACCCTGGGTTCCATCCCCAGCCCTACGAAATAATGAAAAGTAAAAAAAAAAAAAAAATAGCAAGATGGCCAATGAATGGAAGGACTCATGGACATTTGTTCTTTAGTTCACCAGAAAATAGTTAGCCAGAATATACTGCCAGCATATAAATTCCATAAGAACAGAGTTTTTTTTGTTGTTGTTGTTGTTTGTTTGTTTGTTTTTTAATCTGCTTTGTTTCCTACTGCAACCCCAGATCTTAGGACAGTGCCTGGAATAGCAGCCACTCAATAAATATTTGTTGAGTGGAGTTAAGGAATTAAATATCCTGGAGACTTCAAAGAATTAAGGTTTTCCTGCCTATTTTGCGGCAGTGTTCTTTCACTTGTAAATATAGATGTACCTTCTGAACACTGAAAAAAAATGCATCCCCTTGACAAATGGCACTCCTTCGTATATACGGAAAATGATGGCAGCCGTGAACTCTGACCTGGGCATTTGATACTCAACATTGCAGAGAATAAATATGTAGGTTCTTGACAGTTAACACTCAAGGTGTCTTCTAACTGGATACTCATGATGAACAAAGTCATAAGTCATTGGACTCTGATCAATAACCCAGTTCAGCATTAGGTCATTAGTGCTCATTAAAGTGAAGGATGGATAACTGTGATCCTAATAAGTCATTTGGGAAAATTTAAAGATTCTTGATAGACCATTTGGATAACTGAAACCAAAGAGCTTGGTCCAATTACTCCTCTAATTCCTTTTTCATGGCTTGTCACCCAAATCCAGTCAGGTGCTCCATGAATTCAAATATCACAGCTCCTATGAACTAATGTTGCCAATTCACAACAGTCAAAATAAACAGATGAGATGGAGCCTATTTATGACCATGCCAAAGAGGACCCTGGAAGGCAGAAATCAAATGGCTAATTCACACTCAAACTAAATGCTTAATAAAAATGCAAAATAAATACTTGGGTCTCCTAGTTTCCAGTTTCACATAATTTAAATACTTCTCCTTTACTTAAATTCCCAAGAATGCCTATGGTCGCCATAAATCCTTAGATGCTAACGGCAGCTCTGATCTGTTGGTAAGAAAGAAGAGCTGAATCTTCAGAGCCAAATTTTTAAGCTCAGGGTAGAGGGTCTTTGGCTGGAATCCAAAAGCAGATAAACAAAAAAGCAGAGATATTTGTCCCCAGAGTCCTCAACTATAATCAAAACCGGCACTTCTCAGAGCTCAAGGTAATTTCTCTGTCCCAGCCTGTTGAAGACATTCTTAGTCCCACTGATGCAGTGACTTCTCTGCACACGAGGTGACAAGCTAGGGTTTGGAAAGCATTGATGCATTCCTTCAATAAGAGCTGTGGCATCAAGCGCATGACCTTCTGAAAGACCTCCAAAGGATGCAGAGCATTTTAACGCCCTGCACATCTATGTCTTGACCACTCCTGGCTGTTGGCAGCCCAGCCAAAGGGAGAGACTGCCTGCCCAGAAGGGCAAATGACTTATCCAAGGTAACAGAGTGGTAGTGGGATGAAAAAAGGTACAATCTCACATGCTGTCTGAATTTTCAGACATTTTGTGCAGAAAATGGTGGAAAAGAAGCAGCTATTTGCTCTAAAGCTAAGTCTCCCCGCCCCCTCTGCTCACTCTTAGTTCATTCTTTTTATTCCCTCTCTCTCTCCTTCCCTCCCACCAACCCTGAGTGACAGAAATGAGAGCAGAAAGGGAGCAGTGTCTCTCCCTCTCTCTATCTGCACTGCTGACCCTCGTCTTGGGAACCATCCTTTAACTCAGAGGGATGATATGGTGATGGCTTGGCAGAAAACCGAAGGGCCTCGGGCAGCTGAGGACTCAAGAAGATAATCACGCTAATAAGAGGCAGAACAGAGAGACCAGCCCTCAGCCAGCAAAGGAAGACCGTTCACAGACAGCAGCAAAAGGCCCATTTCCTACCAAATGGCAGAAGACAGCCATGAAGAAGTGTGGCCCTAACAACCCTACTCTAGGAAAACGGGCTGGAAAGCTGGCTGGATGGTGTCTGGGAGAGATGAAGACAGGAGCAGCCTGTGGCAAAAGCAATTAAGGCTCACCTTAAAGTCAAGTTCTGATGCACTTCCCAGTCTGGAAACCAACCTGCCTCTCAGGCTAGAGGCCAGACTTGGCTGCCCGTACCTGGCGACTCTGCCTGACTTTCGTCTCTTACCTCCAGCCGGTCTGCACACGGTCTCCTCCACCAGGCGTGCCTTTCCTGCCGGCTTCTCCTACCTGACTGCTGCTTAAGTTTGAGGTCTTGGCTCCAGGTTAATTCCTTGGGGAAACTCTTCCTGATTCCCACCCTCCCCGCCCCATCACTCCACCAAGATCAGGTCTCTTAGCACCTTGCGTCCTTCACACTATACACTGAGCTTCTCCCAGGGCTAGCAAGAGTTTGTCCCTTAAAAGGGACTACTTGCAACCTATGAGTTTTGCTGGGCTTCATTTAGAAGAAAAAAGTTTTCTTTTCAAATTTTTATTTTGAAAGAATTTGATTGACTTGGAGAAAAGTTATAGGAATAATATAGAGAATCCCCACATATCTTGGTCCATTCTCTCTTCTTCCCTTCCTCTTTCTCTATGTAGGTACAAGTTGTGTGTTTTCATTTTTTTCTTTTTCTTTTTTTTTTCTGAATCATGTTGGAGTAAGCTACATAGATCATGTCCTTTTCCTCTTTATAGTTCAGTATATATTTCCAAAGAATAATAAGCATATTCTCTTCCCTGGTACAATTGCAAAATTCAAAACATTTAACATTGATGCTATGCCAATATTCCAATTTTGTCAACTAACTAAAAAATGTCCTTTAGAGCATTTTATTCCTCTGAACAGGATGCAGTCCAGGATCACAGAGTGCCTTTAGTTGTCACGTCTCTTTAGTCTCCTTTATTCTGGAATAGCTTCCCAGACTCTGTCTTATATAGACACTGATGCTTTTAAACAATA